TGATCAAAGCCACCCCTCTCCCATCACGGTAGGCTCCGGATGTCAGCTCCATGACACCCCGCCTACCCATCCTGCTGGAGAGACTCTGTGCATTCATCAGGCATCTCCAGAGAGGCACATGGCAATCTGGAAGGCCCAGAGATGCCAGACCGCTAAATGTGCTAGGGAAAAGACGTCAGTGAATATTACAAACACCCCAGAGGGTGAGAGGCAGGCCAAGGGAGGAAAGACCTGGAAGGAATCAGACAAAAAAGAGGGCAAGAGCAGGTTCTTCTTATTTCAAAAAGGGGGATACCGCTGGGGCAGTATCTGTGCAGTCAACTGCACTGAAAGCAGGTAAAGAGGGTCTCTCCTCCTGTCCAACCCCACAGCGTTAGGTGCTGCCACCCCTGACCCGGGGCAGGGGGACCAAAATGCAAGGCACAAGTCCTGCTTGTGCACTGCTCCTCCGAGATGGACACAGCCAGCAGGGACTGAGCGTCTGCAATCTATCTTCACCGGAGCAGGGTTCATACTGCAGCAGGAGTGTCACCTCCCCAGGGCAGCATTGCCCCATCACCAGGCTGTCAGTCACACCAGGGACAGCCCCTGGGCACACAAAAGTGCACGCAGGTCACAAACCAGATTGTACCGTTTAGGCACGGGAAGGCTGAGCATCCTCGCAGCCTGAAGCCCTCGGCTCACCCAGCCTTCCCTTCCCTCCGACCCCTCCAGCCGCAGCAGCAGAGCCCCGCTCAGCAGCAGGTGCAGGGGAAGCAGAGCCAGCCCAGAGCTGCCAGCCGGCCGCGCAGCAGGTCCACACAGCATGGCCACGCCAGCCTGCTCTAGCTGTGCCGAAGCCAGAGCAGCACCTTGGTCAGGCTCGGAAGAAAACAAAAAGCAGCCGAGCAGCCCTGGGCTGGGACTGGGGGATGCTGACACAGTAACCGTACTGCAGCAGCTTAGCCCCAGCACGGCCCTGCTCCTTCCCTGTGTCATGGGAGAGCTCCGTATGGAAAAACGGAGAAAAAAAAAAAAAAATGCAGGGAGCAACTTTCAGATGGCTCCTGAAGCAGAGCACCTGAACCTGACACCTCCTTAGGAACGGAGGCAGCTGCTTGCCTGCTGCCTGCAGGCTTTCAGACCTGCCGGCTGGCAAAGGGCAATGTGGGCCCAGCCTATAGCATCCGTACCCTCCTGCCTCTCTGCAACCACTGGTCACAGCTGGAGGGATCTAACCGCCTCTCTCTGGCACACGTCATGCTGGATAAACACAGTAACGATCCTCTTCAGCTACACGGGCACCCAGAGCCCTGCAAAACTGTGGGCCCCCATGCAGCCCATCGCATAATAAACAACAGCGGAGGTACAGAAGGGTCTTCCAGGGATGTGAATCCTTCCCATGAAAACCATCAGCAGAGCATGACAGGCACGGTCTGACCAGAGACTTCCCTGGCTACAACTGCCACACGTGATGACTTCCACTGCAGGTGACCTGGAGAGGCTTCAACCCTCTGATTTAAGAGATAACCAGCTCCTTATGCTGTTCCTAACCCCAGCACTTATGACTAACTGGCTCAAAGTGGAGCCAAACCCCAACTTTAATCATTATTCAATGTTATTAATAAAGCCATGCACAAAACCTGGCAGGCAGAAGGGCCCAGACCAGTAGAAGCATCATTTTTCTGCCAGCATCACCTCTGACAAAGCAGCTCTACCCACCTGCCTCTCACCAGCCCAGCCCCCAGCAAAGCCCACCTTTCCTTCGCTTTGTACCAGAAACACCTCACAGCCCTCCCTTGAAAACAGAGATACAGGAGGGCTCCGAGCTGCTGAACCTCTGAGTTTTTTCTGATCTCACCCCACATTTCTTCCTCTGGGCAGGGACCATGCTGCTGCCCCCAGCCAGCAGCTCAGAGCCTCACCATGCTCCACAGCCGCATCTTCAGAGGACACCACCGAGATGGCAAAGCCTGCAGAGACCAGGAGAAGCCAGGCGGGCTGGGGGAGGGGAGCCAAAGCATCCTAGAGGGCATCTTTGCCTCCTCCCAGGCAGCAGGAGACTAAATCCAGAGCAGCGCGGCGAGAGCGAGCTGCCTCTCGGCACAGCCCCACCTCACCCAGCCAGCGCCAGGCGCCCCCCGCCCTGCCACTGCCCACCCTTCCTGGGCAAGTGTGCGCTTCATTGTTGGTGCAAACAAAGGAGCGGTTTGTGTCTGCCGAAGAGAAAGGAAGTCGGAGGCAAAATCATCCAGCAGCCCTGGATATATGCAGATTAAGCTGCAGAAGGTTGCATTAATGTAGCGTTTTCCAGACATCAGTTAATCCCCCCGGCCGTGCTCTGTCTCCGTCTCCCTGGCAGAGGTGGGCTGTCTCACCTGCGGCCACAAAGGCAACCGGCGCCCACTTACAAACCTGACATCCCTGACCCGACACTTCCCACAAGGCCAGGCAAGCTGCTGGGCAGGGACGGGTGTGAAACACAAGCGATGTGCCCACCAGCATGCCCGTGGGCATCGCTTTGGCAAGGAACTTGGTCTATTCTTATCGAGGAAAAATGAAGATGCTGGGATTCCCACTAGCTGTCTAGGGACCAAGCTATGGATCGACAGGCTGTCAGTCTCCGAGCGGATGTCTGGCTACAGGATGAGTGGAAGGGAGAAGCGCTTTCTCGCTGTTTGTCCTTCAGGGATGCATCCTCTGCTGCCCTGCCCCTATCACCTCCAAGATGGCCCAAGGGAAGGGTTTTGCTCAGCTGCCTCCCCTGGTGCTCGCTGGGGTGCCCTGCTTGGTCTCCGTGATGAACCCCAGGTCACACGGTGGCTGCTCGGGGCTCTTCCCAGCAGCAGTGTGGTGCTGGCAGGCCTCGGTTTGCCGTGGCCACTCCCTGGATCCCAGGTTTCGGCAATCACGACCTCACTCCTCTTGCCCTGCAGCTGCTTAGGAGGACCTCGAGCATCAGCAGGAGCGTGGGGGTTGGATGAATCCAGGTTTAGAAAGGCATCACCGGGCCATCTGCCCTCCAAAGGCTTTTCCCAACCGTAATTCCCAACAATTCCCAGCACCTGGCGAGAGCCCGGGCGCCCTCCCTTCCCTGCCTGATGGAGACACTGATAACGTCGTGGGGCAGCCAGGACTAGACCCGTAGGCTCTCCCTGCCCGGCGCTGCAGCACGGCGACCCAGAGGACGCCCGTCGGAGATACAACTCCTCCCTTCTGCTCCCATTTCTGCCACATCATTTTCCCTCCCCGGGCTGCCCCGGC